ATCTGTGTGTTCATGTGTTTCAGAGCTGAAGGAGGAGGCAGAGAGGGTTCAGACTCAGCACCGCTCAGAGAAACAAAGACGCAAAGAGACGGAGCTGAAAGTGAACACCATGGAAGAGGAGCTGCAGGACCTGAAGACTGACAAGGAGAGCCTAGAACGAGTAGGTGGATTTCATTCTTTTGTGAATGAATTACAGCAATACCCAGTCACCATGGAAACAAAAGGTTTTCTTTAAATCAAAAAGGGATGTCTGACAAAAAGGTTTGCCTCACATTTAGGCACTTTCAGAAAGAAAGAAGAAATGGCAGGTGGAGCGTCAGCGTCGGGACGAGGAGGTGGAGGAGCTCCGCAAGAGCAGCCAGCAGGAGCTGGACAACCTCCGAGCTCAACTTCGCAAGGCCAGGACCAGCAGTGACAACGCTGCATCAGAACAGGTCACATCTCTGCATCCAGCCCGAGGGCGATCACATCGTCTAAATCGAAAGATCAACAGAGTGTTTTGTGAACATTAACGTTGCTTTACATGCTTGTTGCAGCTGTCTCAGCTGCAGGCGGAGCTTGAGCAGGAATGGAAGGGCAAATGTTCCCAGATGTTGGCTTCAGCTAAAGAGCAGCACAGCAGAGAGGTGGCTGAACTGGCAGAGCAGCGAGAGGCTCTGCAGGACAAGTTAACCCAGCTGCAGGAAAAGGTGCATGAGATCGTGCTCTCATATGTTCATTTTACGCCCTTTGGCACTTCGAGCACTTAGCAAACATTCCACATATATAATATAATATAATATAATATAATATAATATAATACTACCACGTTTCATTACTGCGGTGTCCTGGGCCACTCAGCAGTAGTTTCTTCAATTGTTCACTTTAAAGTTGAGAAAGTTTATATTGGGACACGAACACGTTACATGTTGTTGTTGAATCATGTTTGCTGTCACTAGTTTTCAGCTCTGAAGCAACTGAGAGACTCAGAAGAACAAAGTCTGCTGCAGCAACACAAGCATTATGAGGAGTTGCACGCTCTTCAGGAAAAAGTAAGATGGATGACTGCATTTAACTCATCTTGTCTAACAAGATTAAATATTTATTATTAGCTGGGAATGCATCTTTTCAGAGACGTCACTACCCAGGAATATTATAATAGCCCTTTAGCACTGAGACTGTGCCTAAGCTGGAGCCAAATCTTGACATTTTCGCCTGAGCTAAAAGCAGAGCTACACAGAATCCTGATGTTAAAGGTGATGTTAAAAAGTGTGGTGGGGACTCCTCTGTTAGTTTCTCTGGGAAGTAACTGATAAATGTCTGTTATGACTCATTAAAATAAGATGAGAAGACTTTATTTATCCTGAGGGGAAATCTTTTGTCACATGCTCAGTGCAGCAAGAGAGACAGAGGAGCAGAGGAATAAGATACAATATGTACAATAGAATACAAGTATACAGTAATATACAGTAGGATAGTGCAAAATATAAGATCAAATAACTGTAACAAGTAACAATATAACTAAATCCTGAAGCTTATCAGTGCAGGTGATTTTAAAGTGACATAGTATTGTGCAGATGGATAAAAGAGTAGCAGCGTATGATGGGGGATGAAACAAACATTCAATGAAAAACTGTTGGTGATATTGCACCGTCTGAATGACAGAAGCTTTGTTATTAATCCTCAGGAAAATCACCTACAGAGTGAGGAGGAGTTGTAAGGATCATCATGGAGGCATGCATGGGGTGGGAGGGGTTACAACCATACCGTTTACATTGCATATATTTATGTCATGTTATTCCCTTCAAGTACACAGCCTTGGAGCAGCAGGGAGCGACTGTAAGACAGAAGCTGCAAAGACGAGTGGCAGAACTGGAGAGCAAACTGGAAGAGCAGGAGGATTCTGGAGACACTGCAGCAGAGGTGAGACGTACATGAGATCTTTCAAACAGAACAATTAATAGAAGGTGCAGCGCAGCCTTTGTCTTCATCTGTCACTTTAAGAAGCTGTTTAGCTGATAGAAATCACAGAATGAAAATCAGAGATGATCAGCAGCAGCTCATTAATGCCTCCAGATGCCAGTGCAGGGTGGTGTGGCGAATCCACTTACCCAAAAAAATGGATCGGACATCAGTTGTAGAAACGATAGTCTTTATATAAGGCTTCAAAAAGGGGAATGTACAACAAATAAACTTCTCGACATCAGAGCAACATATAATGGCTTCCCGAAACTTTCTTTGCTAGCTAAAACCCAGAGTAACTTTCGTCTACCACAAAGGATTCTGGGAAACACAGTTTTCTAATGAAAATACCTGTTAAATGCTCCCCTTTAGCAGAAAATTAAATCTATAATTAACAGCTCTCACTAAACATGTGACTAACACTTAAATCACTTACAAAATAACCAAAATGCTGTTATCAAACAATAAACTGCAATAAAGTTACAACACAGGGTGCTTTCGTCTTAGTTTTCAGCATGTTTTCTATAAGACGAGGCTGCCTGATGTTTCCAATCCAGTACAGGATTCTGATGTTGAGTCTGTCATGTTAAATATAGGTTGAACCCATTTTAAAACCATTTCTTATTTATTATATTGATGTGTTGAGAGATACTTTCAAGTGTATCTAGTAACTTTACCCACGCAACATGTACATTATAGAAAATGTTTGGCAGGAATTTGACTTTTTTTAAGGGAAACTTTTTAATGTACAATTTAACAAACACAAAAAAAGCTGAGATTTACATGTAAATATAAGCAGAATCCAGTGATTTGTCATAACACACAGAAAGTTATGGTAAAAAATAATTCCCATATAAAGTAAATGGTTTACTCCGTAACATGAACGAGCTTCCTAGAGTCTGAGAGAACAGAGACTTCTAGAAGTAAAGTTGGGGAAGGGTCCCAGACAGTTTAAAAATAATATTTCTACATGCACAACTGTAAAGTATTGGCTGATTTTATAATATATGTTAGAGAATATCAGTAAAAGAATCAGAGAATCTTGAGCAGTGTCTGTACGCAAGGCACAAAAAACCTGTATCGAACATTGATGATGTTCAGATGCTGAGACAGGACTGCGTTGAAAACAGACACGACTCTTTCACCTCTGTCACACTTGCCCCACTGAATGATATATCTGTATATATGTGTGAGTAATGTTTGATTTCATCCAGATGTTTTGCTTATTTCAGCAAGACAGTAGCAGACCTCATTCTGACCTGTGTGGTAGCATCGTGGCTCTGTGTCGAGTCCTAAGATGATATATATGCTTATATAGAAACATTTTGGCCGTTATGAAAAGCTTTAAGCTGCTGAGCAGGTAAAATCTGGAAAATCTCTCCTGGCATGAAGTTGACATTTATATTTAACAAAATATCTTATGTTTTCAGAGGCCTAATTATAACCTAATTTGATTTAAATGACCGATGTGTTGTTTGAAGAGACACTTTGTATCATTAATGTTTAATATCTTGAGAGCAGTTTTTCACAGGTTTGTATCATAAATAATGCTTCAGTAAATTCATTTTCTCATTTTGTTTTCTGTGTAGAACGACACGAATATCTCCATCTTTTTTTACGAGAAGCCAACAGTTAGGACAGCAGGTTTCTGAGAAATCAATCTAAGGAGCTGAGACACAAAAACATTCTTGAAGTTTCTTCTTTTTAAGTCGTGACCTAGATGACTGAGAACCTTCAGACATATCTGAGACATCAGGTTCAACAGGAAGTCAAAGTGCTGATTTGCACCATAGTCATGGTTGCTTAAAGCTTCGGTCAGAGCAGTGATGGCTCTGCAGCTCCTGTAAAATCAAACATCATTAGATGAAATGTGATGAGTGAAGATAATGAATAATATAGAAAAATGGAGTGAGGAGCATGAAATACAGGATTATGTTCACGCTCCTTTAAACTGAGACAGCACGACCGATCACCATCATAACCTTTGTAGTACGCTCTGATCGATCAACAGTAGGTCTGATTTTGGGACGTAGAGTTTCTTCTTCTATGATTTAGTCCTAAAAATACCAAACACGTGTTCTCACTCATAATCAGCGGGTTTACTAGTGTGGGTACACATCATGGATCACAGCTGGTAAATGGACGGGTTCTTATATAGCGCTTACTCTGAGCACTCAAAGCGCTTATCAATAAGCTGAAGTAAAAGTTTGCGCATTAGTGTGATGCTGTGTGAAGTCTAAGACCAGTGCATGCTGGGACATTACTCATCATTTGTGTTCTTATAGGTGAAGCGTGTGATGAACGGAGTGTTCCACTCACTGCGAGGGGAGTTTGATCTCACTGAATCCTACACCGGCCAGGCTGTGCTGGGGGTCATTGTCTCTACCATTAAGGTAAAATCCTTTTGAAGCGATCAGGAGCCTCACAGCAGTCGAGTGTCAGTCGTAGCGCCTTTATTCTAAAACACTTCCACTGCTTCGGCAGCTTATGTTCAACCAGGAAGCCAGCTTTGCAGCTCCTTGCCACACCACACACGCCAAGAGTTCATTAGTTCCAGTTCCTTTCACCTGTCCCCTCAGACCTCCTGGCACCGCCCCCCCCGTGAGCTTACTGTACCACCCCCCCACTGCAGCAGAGCCAGAGACCACACCTTTCTTTTTTATATGCAGCCTTTGTGCAGAAATTCAGAGTTCTTAAATGTTTGGACTAATCGGCACATCTTTTGGTGTCTTACATCACCACAGGTGGAAAGACACTGTTCATTTATCCATATTGTACAATCATAGCCCTCATCTCATGATAATGGAAGTGTTTGACTGGCATTTGGGTTTGAATCACAGAATTCTGGAACCAGCCGTTAACCCTTTAAAACCGGTCAGAGCTGCACGCTC